GCATGAAAGAAAAAAACATTTGAATACATATCTTAGGGTTCATTTCCCTAACATCAACTTATCTGACCTTTTCGGCTTGACTCAGACATATGCTAGTTATTGCAAATAAGGGAAACCATGGGACCTATGTTTCTTTGGGCCTGGCTTACTTCATTTAATATAATTTTTTCCAAGTCTTTCCATTTCCTAGCAAATGGGTCAATGTCATTCTTTCTGATGGAGGCAGAGAATTCCATTGTGTATATATACCACATCAAATCTGTATTTTTTGAGACTGTCTCTTTCATCCAAATTATTAAATTGATTGATATTATATTATTAATAATATCTTTTTGCCTTTTTAACATATGCAGTCTCCAAGATTAATGTTAGTCTTCTTGTTATGTTTTCTTAGAAAGGTCTCCTCATGAGAGTGGACATAAATGAAGACAATTTCCCCCAAGGAGACACCTGATTGGAAGAACCTAACTAGGTCAGCATTGACCAGTGTGTCAAGATTACTCAACTGAAAAATGTTGTTAAAAAATACTAGATAGTCATGCAAAAGAATGAATTGAGGGAGTATGTAGGGTGGCATACATCTGTAGTCTTAGCTTTTTGGAGATCAGGAGGATCATAGTTCAAAGCCAGCCTTGACACAAATTTAGTGAGCTCTTGTTTCAACCAAGCCAGGCATGATAGTCCAAACCTGTAACCTCAGGTTTGTACTGTCATATTACTATAAAGATCTAATAGAATATATTGAAAATTTTCTGCAACTCAACACAAAACATCATACAAATGAATGAAGGTAACAAATAGATATGGATCTAATGGTGATACTACTAATCAGAGAAATGCCAATGAAAACCACAGTCTACCATCATCTCAGACCCATTAAGATGTCCCCTCAGAAATAAACCAGAAAGTAATACATGTTGGAGGGTATGTAGAGAAATTGGAATCCTTTCTGTACCATTATTTGGCTTGTAAAACACTATGTCCTCCAAATTTAAAAAAAAATAGAACAACCATACCATTCTGGAATCCCCATGTACTGGATGGACATCCAAATGATCTGAAGGTCATGTCTCCAAGAGAAACTTGCATATGCATGTTTGGAGCCACACCGTTCATCATACATAATTTAAGTTGAACTTGCATACCCGTGACTAGGGTGAGCTTCATAAAAGATTAGATTTTGCAATGGAAAAGAGTAGTGAGTTGAAAGAAAAACACAGAAACTATCCCAAATTCAACCCAGAAGAAAACACGAATGATAGGTGAGACGGCTTCTAAGGACTAATATGCTTAACTGTAATTCTAGAGATGTAAAGTATATTCGGTAACATCATGGCTGACAAAAAATTATTGAAGGAAAGAGATATTACTCTGTAGAGGAAGCAGCTTGATGTGAAGAAGACCATTAACAGCCATCTTTAGTCATATGAGAGGGAAAAAAAGATCAGACTTGTTTTCTGGGTGTTTAAGATGGTGCCAGAGCAAAGCTAGGAGCTGGAAAAGTGGCAGTTGAGTATCAGGGGATGAACAACTGATCAAGAGCAGCTGCTCAGCAGTAGAGTACAAGTATGGGTGGCACTGATGGCTTTCCAAGTTTGGAAATGCTTTAGAAGAAATTACACAACTCTTTGGTAGAGCACAGTGGGAGAGAAGTCCAATAACAGATGGGAGTAATAACTTCTAAAGCAATTCTTAACTAGAGACTAGAATTTTCAGTGCGATGGGCTGGGACGGGCAGTGTTCCATGACCTTTTCTTCTGTACCAAAGATTAATAATGAAAAGTTACACTCCCTTTATGCAAGAACAGAAAAAAAGGACATTAAGAAGAAAATGTGGCTTCTTATCTCGGCTTTGAAATGACCCATCTCTTGGCTTTATTCGTTGGCTTTATTCTATAAAATGAAGGGGTTTGACTTTATTGAATAAATATCAGGTGATCTCCAGCTCCCCATTAGCTTAAAACTGAATTTCAACATGTTTTCTTTAGCCATTGCTTACATTCTGTTCACCCTCCATGATCAGATCCATTTTCCTTCCTGTTCAACTGTGTATTCTAATCTTGCTTAGTTTGATTTCTTTTCAGATTGAGGAACATGGACCAACATTCGACCTTGTCACCCAAGGTGGCTGGCCAGATATTTTGTATGTAAGTGATACCCCAGATTAGAGGAACATGACCTGGGATTATTAGAGGATGTAGAGAGATGAGGATGAGAGGGAAAACTGGATCTTTCACATAAATTAAAGACACAGAGAGTTTTCTGTGTAAAATAAGTGTGAGCAGGGACTGGTGACAGCAAGCATTCATCTGTGGAAACGGGAACTATCTTGATGGTGAACATCCTACTGCGTACATCTAGCCAGAGTTTCACATGCTATCCCATAAACACGTGCAACTATAATAATTAAGGAATAAACAGATAAGCATTCACATCAGCATCACCGCTTTCCTTCAGTCCTGCCATCTCAGTGGTTCCTGTGAAGACTTTAATTATTTTCACTAACTTCACCCTTTAGGAACTCCACCTCAAGTTGAGCCTGGAATGAACCCAAGGTGATTTTATTGGACTGATTATGAGATCATTGATTTTTATTGGATTGATGATGAGATTCCCCAGAGCTTTGAAGGCTCTGAGACCAGAGACAGAGGAACCTTTCACCTTGTAGCTCCTGGTCCTCACTTCCCTGCAGTACTCCTTTTTAGCTTCTCAGGCAGAGGAACCACTGTCTGGCTTTTCCTGTGGACTGCAGGAGTGCACCAATGCCACCAAGAGCCTGGTTACTTTTGCTTAGTCCACTGTCTTGCACTTTTACCCTAGCTAGGAGGTCAGGTATGTCGGTCACCCTTCAGAAGATGAGGAGTCTGCCCTTGCTTCTTCTGTTCTCCAGACACATTACTGTTGTGGCCTACCCATCCTGCCCATCTGTGTGCACAGAAGCATCCTAAATGCTCAGACTAAAGGTTCTCTGAGCTGGTGGGATTTCAGGCAGAGAAGCTACACCCAGGATCATTGCCTGTGAATGGATCCTAGGTAGTCAGAGAGGTCCTGAAGGCATTGAGATTCTATGGTAGCCTGTAACTCAAGTGAGGGGGGAATAGGTTACCCCAGGGCATGGAAGCCAGGGGAAAGATCTCCTACTAGACTATCCTGACATCTCTAAAAGCTTTCTTCTCCCAGAATGCAGCATCAAGCTCATGCAAGCTGAGATGTATGGGGTGGTTGTCCAAATATTATCTCAGTCTGTTAGGTTACTATAATAAAATACCAGAGATGGATGACTTATAAACAACAAGAATTTATTTCTCATAGTCCCAGAGTGGGAAATCTAAAAGCAAAGGGCTGGCAGACTGAGTGTGTGGGGACAGCTTCCTTCAGCCACTTCGTGGCTGAGTTCTGTAACTTAATCACTTTCTCTAGTGCTCACCTCCTAAAACTATATCCTTGGGGGTTAGGACTTTAAAGTAGGAATCTGGAGATAGGGACACAAATATTCTAACTATGGGAAGTTTCTAGGGCCTCTTTGTAAGGGCAATAGTCCTATTGATCAGGTGTCTGTCCATGAGACCTTATCACTTCATCAAGCCCACACCTCCTATTATTACCTTGGGGGTTAGGATTTCAACCTAGGAATTCTGGGTGGGGACGCACACATTCTGGCTGTGGAAGGTCTCCCGGGCCGCATTGGTGGGGTGATAGTCTCATTGATAAGGTGTGAGCCATGTGACCTTCATCAAGTCCTCACCTCCTCAAACCATCCCTTTGGGTGTTAGGATTTCATCCCAGGAATTCTGGATGGAAGACATATGCTTTGAAAAAAACACTACCGAGGGCAAAGACCTAGTTTACATACTAAGCAAACATGAAGATTTGCCTTGATAAGAGTCAGGAAGCAGTAAGAAAATCAAATTGTTTTTCTTTCGCTGGGGCTGTATGAACCCAGTCTGGGGCTTCCTCTTCGGTGGCCTTAGCTGCCTCACCACATAGCAAAAGGGACTGTGGTAGGAATCCCGGGTGGATGGATTTTTTATGGCCAGGTAACAGCAAGACAACTTAACCTCCTTGCCCTGGCTGTGGACAGGGAAGAGGGTCGTGAGCTGGTGGAGATCATTACCTTTCTGAGAGCTCAGGAACATGCAGGACCTAGACCAACGACTCTCTGTCAGGGTGAAGGGCGATTTCTCCTGGTGTTTGGGCTTTCGGCTCCTCAGGACTTTGCTATACTGGGGAGGGAGAAGAAGATCGCCTCCTGTAGTCTCCCTCCAACTTGTCCAGGGCATTGGGTGAGGGATGAGGCTTTGTGCAATCCTGAGGCTGATGATGAAGCAGGTGGGAGAATCAGGGATTATAACGAGAGTCAGTCTTACAACCTCTATGCTCCAGGCCTGGTGCAATGCCTTGTCTTTGACTTCTTTCCCTCATCCTCACCTACCAGATGTCCCACTGCTGCTCAGATAACAGTTGGGTCAAGTTCTAAATGTCATAACACTGTCTTATGAATAGCCCATGAGGCAATGACCCTAAAAAACTTCCTTTGGGTAAATAAAGATTTCAGTACGTCTTTATTACAGTTCTACTTATGAAATCTTCGCTATGGTTGGAAGTTCTGTGTCCCCCTCCCACAATTCCTACCTTGAAATCCTATCCCCCAAGGAGATGGTTTTTGGAAGTAAGGACTTGAGGAAATGATACACTCACAGAGATAGAGACATCCATAGCCTAATAAAAACAAATATGTGCAATTGGCACATCACAGAATCAGGGTTTGACAGGAAAGTTCAGTGACCTTTGCCTTCTACTTAATCTGTTGAAAGAACATGTAGAAGTGTATGGCTTATAGACCCTGGTCACGTGTGGTGGAATCATCTGATTGTCAAGCAAACAAAACCCGTGTGCAGCGCTGGGTGTGTGCCCAGAACTGTGGAGGAACTCACAGGCTCAGCAGGCTCCTGGTTTGTAGAGAAGACAGAAGCAACATGAGCACAGCAGGAAAAGTAAGTGAGAAGACTGTACTGTTGAAAGACATATTATATATATTATATATACAAATATACAGACAAAGGTTTTATGCTATCTAAAGTAGGGATGAAACATGCTGAACTATAATATACAATCTAAACTATAATATCTAACATGCTGAACCATAATGGAAACAAACTGCTTCCAAACATCTTTAACAGGAATGTATAAAATCTGGATACCTTAAAGTGTTCAGATTATATTAAATAAATTGGCACTGGAGTGATAGTTTATTCCAAGCTAATTGTGACTACTTTGTGCAACTAAAATTAGAAAGGTCTTTAATCCAAAAAGTGCTATTCTTTGTAATCCTATTCTTATGAATACAGGAATATTAAAACTGATAAGTTAGCCTTAAGAGGAATTTAATTCAGAGGACTTAGACATAGCTTCTTAACCTTTTTATGAAAATCATATTGATAAGAATTAGTTGTCAAAGTTAAAGGACAACATTAATATGCAAATTCTGATTGAGAAGGGTCCATTATGACATAATTTGTAACGTTTCCACAGTAATTTAATGCAACAGTATTTTCTCCACACAAAAATGAATGGGATATTGTAGAACATTTATATTAACAAAATTAATATTAACACACGTTTGTTTCTAAATCTGAAACTCATACTTATTCATGTGTTTATGGTTCAGAGAAATGCATGCAATAGGTTAATATAATTAACCCTTCATTGCAAAAGTCTATGCCTTTGTTTCCAGTGAATATTTGCTGGAAATATTGTATTTGGTTTGGATCCCTTCGGGCTGGGAAGGTAGCTCAGTGGTAGAGTGCTTGCCTTGCATGCATGAGGGTTCAATTCCTCAGGATCACATAAGCAGAAAAAGCTGGAAGGGGTGCTGTGGCTCAAGTAGTAGAGCATGAGCCTCACGCTGAAGGGCTCAGGGACAGCACCCTGGGCCCAGAGTGTAAGCCCCACAAAGCAAAAAA